GAAGGTAGGCCTTTATTTGTAAGTTCCTGATGTGTTGCTGCCTTTTTTCAGATGTGCCCTGCCCAGTGAGAAGGTAGTTGAGTCACAGTCTGCCAGTAGAGGCATTGGTGAGCTGCTGTGGGCTCTGCCTAGCTGCTGTGTGAACTTCCTTGGGGTTTTGTTTATAGAGGTATAGTTAGAACTGCCTTGGTAATGGCGTTCTGCTTCAGGAATGGTGGACTGTCTTTGTAATGGCAGGCTCCCTGGGTAATGGCAGATGCCTTAGTAATGGCGAACTGCTTGGTAATGGTGGACTGCCTCAGTAATGGTGGACTGCCTCAGTAGTGGTGGACTGTCTCAGTAATGGCAGATGCCCTTCCCCCCACAGAGCTGGACTGTCCTGCGTCCAGCTGTGCTTGCTGTGAAACTCTCAATTCAGAGTGTTTCAGATTACTGGTCTTTGTGGAGGTAGGACCTGCCAAGTCAGCTCACCTGGCTTCCTGTTTCAGCCCTTTTTTTTCAGTTGAATGGGTGACTCTGTCTCTCAGGCATTCCAAGTGCCAGATTTATGTGAGTTTTTGTGCAGAGACCCCCTGCATTGGCTGAAACAGCCATGCTGGAGACTCATGGCACTTTTCTGCCTGGGAATCTCCTGGTCTGTGGGCAGTAAAAACTCTTTTGGAAATGCAGTGATCACTCTCTGCATTCTTGCAGGGAACTACACTCCAGAGCTGTTTCTTTCGGCCATCTTGGATCATCCCTCACATCTGGTCAGCTCTTAAATGCAAGGAAGAAACAGATAGCTGGTCTGTATCAAAGTATTAAGTGTGTTCTAAATCTAGCTCCTTCATCTGTACTTCTCATTTATGTAAAAAAAAACAAGCCCTTAATTGATAAACCAATATGCAATATGAGTTGGTTTTCTATACTAAATAACAGTATCATACCTGGTACAGAAGGAAAACAAAGCTTTTTGTAGTCATCAGAATATGGCTACCCAAAGACATGCATATCCTGATCTCTAGAACCCGTGTATAGATTAGGTTCCATGACAAGGGAGAATTAAGATTGCAGATGGAATTAAGGTTTCTAATCAGATGACCTTAAGTTAGAGAGATTATCCAAGATTATTAGGGTGGGCCCAGAGTAATCATTAACATCCTTAAAATTGGAATATGAAAGAAGAAGCAGAATTAGTAACTGATTTACACAATTTGAGAAAGTTTGATCCACTATTTATAGCTTTAAAGTTGAAAGACTGAGGCAAAGTACTAAGAGATATGGCAATCTCCTAGATCTGGAAAAGGTACAGAAGGGGTTCTTTCCTGAAGATTTCAGAAGGAAAACAGTCTTATTGACATCTTTATTTTATCCACTGAGATACATTTAGGACTTCTGGGCTCCAAAATTTAAGACAATAAATTTGAGTTGTTTTAAGCTGCCAGGTTTGCAGTGAATTGTTACAGCATCCCCATCAGAAACTAAAAGACAAGTGAGTCTCTCAATTCCTATGGAAAGTCTTTTATCACATTCGGAGTCAAGTTACACAGGGCTCAGAAATCCTCCCACTGCCCCGTGTCCACACCAGTTTTATAACCTCTATAGACATCAGCATCTATTTCATAAAAACAAGGGAATTTCTTACACCATCACCGACACTAACAAAAATATGATAATTAATATTGATGCAATACTTCAATCTATAGTCCTATTCAAATTTTATAATCTCATTAATGTCTTTGACATCATTTTTTTTTCCTGGTCAAGAAATCAATACAGGATCACACATTGCATTTAGTTTTCATGTCTCTTTAGCCTTTTTCTGAGTTATTTTCTTAGTCCTGGGTCTTTTATGTTAATGACATTTTTGAGGAGTACAGGCCAATTATTTTGCAGAAAATGCATCAATATTTTTATCTGACTTTTTAATGGTCAGATTCAATTCATGCACTTTTGTCAGGAACATCACAAAGTGTCCTCAGTGCATTATATTAGTAGGTACCTGATGCTAATTTGCCCTGTTACTGATGGGATTAACTTTGGTCACATGTTTAAGGTACCAGTTTTCTACCAGTTTTCTCCATTAAAAAGTTATTATTTCCTCCTTATAATTAATAGGTGTCTTGTAAAAAGATACTTTTAGACTTTTGCCCATGAGTTTTGGCATCTGTTTATGATCCTTGCCTTAAAATTATTACTATATCACGCCTGTAATCCCAGCACATTTGGAGAATGAGGTGGGCAGAACATGAGGTCAGGAGTTTGAGACCAGAGTGGCCAACATAGTGAAACTCCATCACTACTAAAAATGCAAAAAATAGGCAAGCATGGTGGTGTATGCCTGTAATCCCAGCTACTTGGCAGGCTGAGACTGGAGAATTGCTTGAATGAGGGAGGCAGAGGTTGCAGTGAGCTGAGACTGCACCAGTGCACTCCAGCCTGGGTGACAAAACGAGACTCCATTTCTGAAAAAAGAAAAAAGAAAAAAATTATTACCATAGTAATATTAGTAATTATTAAAAATTATTACTATAATAATATTAGTAATAATTAGTAATATAATGATTGACTAATATTGTTTTCTCATTCTACCATTACTTCTCTATTATTAAAATTATCTTTTAAGAAAAAGCCTTTCTTTCTCCCCCATACATTAACTTATCACATTATTATTTAAATCAATATGAACTTAGGAAATCTTACTTTATTCTATGGATTTTAATTCATTACTGTAATGATGCATTTTGTTGCTCGATTCTTTTCAGATTTGGCCCATGGTAGTCCTTTCAAAGTGACTCCAGTGTTGTTCTGATATGTCCCCATAGTTGTTTGAACACTTTCACACATCTGGTTCAAGATATTCTATGCTCATGCTATGCTTTCCATGTCTTAGTTCTGACATCAGCCATTTTTTCAAAGACACCCACTGTCTTTCATTAGTGAGGATATTTGAAATCAAGATATGAATGCTTAGTGTTCTTTTTAAAATACTTTTATTGTTTTCGGGTCTTTTCAGTAAACATACTGTATTAGTCCATTCTCACATTGCTATAACAAAGTACCAGAGACTGGGCCATTTATTAATAAAAGAGATGTAATTGACTCACAGTTCTGCAGAATTAACAGGAAACCTGACTGGAAGACCTCAGGAAACTTACAATCATGGCAGAAGGCAAAAGGGAAGCAAGCATGCATTTACCATGGCAGAGCAGGAGAGAGAGAGAGAGAATGAGCGGGGAATTGTCACATGCTTTTAAACCATCAGATTTTGTAAAAACTCACTATCACGATGAGTTCATGTCCTTTGTAGGGACGTGGATGAACTTGGAAACCTTCATTCTCAGCAAACTGACACAAGAACAGAAAATAAAACACCACATGTTCTCACTCATAGGTGGGTGTCGAACAAGAGAACACATGGACACAGGGAGGGGAGCATCACACACTAGGGTCTGTTGGATGGAAATAGGGGAGGGAAAGTGGGGGGTGGGGAATTGGGGAGAGAGAGCCTAGGAAGAAATGCCAGATATAGGTGATAGGGAGGAAGGCAGTAAATCACACTGCCATGTGTGTACCTATGCAACGATCTTACATGTTCTTCACATGTACCCCAAAACCTAAAATGCAATTAAAAAAAACCTCACTATCATGAGAACAGCATGGAGGAAACTGCCCCCATGATTTAATCACCTCTCACCAAGACCTGCCCTCAACACATGGGGATTACAATCTGAGAGGAGATTTGGATGGAAACACAGAGCCAAACCATATTACAAACCTAGCAAATAGAGAAGAGAGTTAAAGTCTTCAACTCTGTGAGTTTGTCTACTTTTCCTTTTAATATTTCATCAATTTTTATTTCATGTATTTTGAAACGCTGTTGTTGGGTACATACCCATTTAGGATTGTTAGGTTTCTTTGGTAATTCGATATATTTCTCATCATAGAATGTCCATCTTTATGTCTGTTAATATTTTTGTGCTGAAGTCAACTGTGTTATTAATATAGCCATTCTGGCTTTCTTTTTACTTTCTGTTTTAATGAGATGTAATTCATATATCATATAGCCCACGCATTTAAAGTACATTTTTAGTATATTTAAAGGGTTGTGAAACCATCACCACTAACTACTTTTAGAACATTTTGTTCCCCCAGAAGAAACTGCATACCTATCAGTAGTCAATTTCATTCCCTGCCCCAAGCATTAAGCAACACAAATCTACCTTTCTGTTTCTATAAACTTGCTTATTTTGGACATTTCATATACTTGAAATCATGAAATACATGGTCTTTTGTGACTGGCTTCTTTCACTGAATATAATGTGCTCAAGATTCATCCACTCTGTAGTGTATATCAATACTCATTTTCATGGCTGAATAATATTTGATTACATGATATGTTTGCTTCCTATTGCTGCGTTAACAAGTTACTTCAAGTGGCTTGAAACAGCATATTTAGTAGCTTACAGATCTGTAGGTTACAAGTCCAATACAGATTTCCCTTGGCTAAAATCAAGGTGTTGGCAGGGCATCAATGCCTCCAGAAAGGAGTGCAGCCCTGCCAACACGTTGATTTTAACCAAGGGAAATCTGTATTGGACTTGTAACCTACAGAACTGTAAGCTACTAAATATGTTTTTTCAAGCCACATGTAGTAGCATAGTCCCTCTATTTTTCCCTCTCCAAAAGGCTTCCCAGATTTCCTGGTTTATGGCTGTCTACCTCCGTCATCAAAGCCAATGGAAACAGGTACTTCTTACATTGAATCATTTGGACTGACTCTTCTGCCTCTTTCTTTTTAAGGACCCTTATATTTTTCTTTGAGATTAGTGTTTGGATAATAAATGTATTTTCAACGTTTTAACTTTAACTTAATATTTATATGAGAACAGTTTTCTGTGGATCACATAAAATTGCAATTGTGTTATCTATCTATATGTGTGTGTGTGTTTGTATATATATATTTACAGCCATTTTAATATTATCTTCTATAGTAATAGTTTTTTGTGAAAGCCAAGTTTTAGAAAGGGAGAATACTCATAAATTTCCATGTCCTCCTTGCTCAAGGGCCATGCAAATCTTCTCTGTATTATTCCAATTTTAGTATACATACTGCCAAAGTGAGTGTTCCATAAAAATGTTTTGACTTGCTTATATTCTTACTAGATTAAGAGGATTGTGAGGACAGGGAAAATGTTAATTCATTTACAATTGCCTTTCTTAACCCTGTAAACAATAAATATTTGTTGAATATTTAATGTATTAATTGAATTAATGTATTTGTATATTAATGAAGCTTTGTAGAATTTCACTGTTTAAATTTCATTTGGTGAGCTTCATACACAGTTGTTCATTGGTTCTCAATTATTTTGACTGAGGCTTATCTGAGAGTATCGGTGATACATTTGAAGGGGACTGGGCTGTACCCACCATTTTTGCACAAGGTGCTTGTTAACCTTTTATTTTCACCTGTTTATTTGAGTACAACTATTTCCCAATCCTCTCATCACTGCGTTCTTTCTCCTAAGTCAAGTTATTTTTGGTCAGCCTTTTTTGGGGCTGGCCTGATATAATGCTCATTTGCTATTACACCAGTTAGCTCTACATGATATCTACATTTTGATCAACTGAACATTCCATTTAACAGATATGTCAGTAAAAGACGGCTCTTCAGCTGTAGCAGAAGTAAATTTCTCACATGATTGATAATGTTGGCACACAAAGCAGCTAAATGTCAATTGGTGTGCCATAGCATCATAGGGCAAGACACATAAACTTGTGAAAACAGCACACTTAAACATTTTTAAATATGACAATAAGAGCATTTCATAAATGTTAAATTTCCTATATCTTTGCCACTTTGATATTTTAGTCTGCTCAGAATTTGTCAGAGATAATTTACAGATATAGGATTTGTTTTTCTATTACCATGAAAAAATACAAATTAGTAAAAATAAAAATTTTAGAAAAAGTATAGACTCTTAATCCTGACTCATTTTAAAATACTTAAAATCAAAGATGATGGTATTTAATAATAGAAGAATAGATACTCCAAGCTTTAGCACTAAAGCAAAATCTGTCTTAAATACCTTATATTAAATGGAAAAGAAGATTAAAATCACTTAGAGTTTTTGTATTAAATTTAAGATAAACTACCTTGAACTGTTTTATAGTTCTTTTCTGTTTCTCGCCCACTTTCTCGCTGACTCAAGCTAAAATTCTTTAAGAGAAGAGATCATGACCTTAATTGTTTGGTACTTCCCAACAGTAACAAAGGGTAATATGGATAGTAAGTGTTAATACATGGTATTTGAAAGTTGTGCCTCCCTGATAGCTTGCCTGGAAGCCTCTTCCAACATGGTACATGTTGTTGTATTGGTTCCTCCAGTCTTTGATCAAGCTTTATCTGACTATAGAGGACTTTTATCATCTCAGTTTTATTCTCTCTATCTAGCTCCCACTAGTCCATTATCATGTTTTATTTTTCTTCACTTAAGAAATAAATTATGATGTTTCTATATGCAGAAAAAAAGTAAGAAATTCTAACATATTTTAAATGTAAATCTGATTTTTATTATGACAGTAGTATATGTTCTTTGTTAAAGTTAGAAACTGTATAAATAAAAGAAAACATATTTTTGTTATGTAATGCTGTAAACATGCTTAATATCTAAATTTAACACTTCCCAGGGTTTTCTTTATAAATATTAGCTGATTTTATTTTCTGCCTTTATTTCTAAAACTCAAAATACCAATAAGATGTTTATCATTAAATTTTAAATGAAAACTACAATGCAAATATATACTATTAATTTTAACTACTGGATGATGGAAAATTTGGAAAGCTATGTGATATGAAGAAACAATTAGAAGCTACTTATTGACATCAAGATCAATTCGTCAGCTGGGCGTGATGGCTGACCCCTGTAATCCCAGCACTTTGGGGAGCCCAGGTGGGTGAATAACTCCTGAGGGCAGGAGTTCCACACCAGCCTGGCCAACATGGTGAAACCCCATGTCTACCAAAGGTATAAAAAATTAGCTGGTTATGGTGGCAGGCACCTGTAATACCAGCTACTTGGCAGGGGGGAGGCTGAGGCAGGAGAATCCCTTGAAGCCTGGGAGGTGGAGGTTGCAGTGAGCCTAAATAATGCCACTGGATGTCAGCCTAAGTGACAGAGTGAGACTCCATCTTGAAGAAAAAAAAAGATAAATTTGTGTCTGTAAGAAAGTAAAAATGACATAAACTTCAGTTTATCTATTTTAATTGACAAAAGTTATATATACTTACCACATACATACTGTTTTGAAATCTGTATGCATTGTAGAATGACTAAATTGAGATAATTAATATATGAATTACCTGACATACCACTTTTCTTGTAGTGAGTGTGCTTAAATCAAAATTTTCAACAATGTGTCATGGTTTAAAGACTTGGAGATTTTAAGTGTTATTTAATTGGCATTGATGTATAAATGTGCATTTTTCAATTTTATTCTTAGTTGACTAAGAACAGATTAATAAAACATTTCAAACAAAACTGAGTTTTGCCATAGGTTTGCTTTCTTTGTGAGTTATGGATCACATAATTTTCGTTTTAAAAAACTAAGAGTGAATTCGCTTGCAAAAACAAGACATCCTTAATGTGAAGTCAGCAGAGATACAGAGGCCAAAAGATTCTCTGAGATGTTGAATTAATAAAGCTGGATGCAGTAACATTGTAATCAAAAGATTTTTTTTCTACTTTGGTACTGGTTTTAGAAGTTTCAACTTATGTCAAGAGGGGAGTAGAAATGTGAGACAGTGTTGTGATGATGCTTTTACTATGTGGTGGCAATGGTTGCCCTGAGATTTCCGTAATTATACCCTCTTTCTGTGTAATCCTCATTCCAGTAGAACCAATATTGATGCCAACAGTTACCTTGCAGAATTCTTATGATCAGAATTACATACCAGTAAAAAATTAAGCACATCACATATGGCAGATAATTCAGAACTCAGAGATTTATTCTCTTATGCATGTATTGAAAGTAAGTTTAACTGTTTGCTCACACACTAAACTTAATTTGACATTTTTTTTCCCTAAATATGTCACATCATTGCAGGATCTCAGCAATGACTTATTCTTCAGAGGAAAGTGAAATGCTGGCGATTATGCCTAAGTTTTCTAGCAATTTAGGTGACATAGGTTATTTCTGATCTGTTTTCCTGCCCTGTGAAACAGAGATAATGTTGTCTGTTTACTTGTATAAACATAGGATGTGGGAGACAGAAGACGGTACTTGAGAATAGCTTATAAAAACAAAATATATATAAAACCATCTTTTTCTTTTGCACGTTTTATAGGAGGTTGCAAAAAGGTGGCTATTGGACCAGCTGGAGCATGAGACATTTTATTTGGCATCTATATGTGTAACACACACACACATATATAATTTCCATTAGAAGGAGCCTGTGCTCTGCAGCTCACCATATTCTTTACAACTCCTATTGCTTTATAATTGGACAATTTTCTTAATTTACATTTATATTTCCTGTGGGTATTTGAATTGCTACCATAGCTTTTAAGAATCCTAGTTTTGAAAAATGAAACCTTACTTTGTGGAAACTTCGAAAAATTCTAGCTGTTTCTCTGTTAAACAAGTTTGAGTTAGAGTAGATCCTCAAGCTTCTTTTAGCATTGTCAGTCAAGGTCATATTGATACTCTAAAATAAAAGTTCTTGTTAAGTGATCCCTGATAGAACTCAGGGAGTTTGTGAACTTGAGTGTTAAAATATACAAAGTTAACACTTTTATTTTCAGTAAGTCCTTTAATGATGCATGTAGGCAACAAACAACAGTAGTATTAGCAGTACCTATGACTCCATCACTAATGGAAATGATAGACATTTTATATAACACATTATAAGTTTTGAAAACATCTTAAAATATTGCTCATATTTATTAAAAATTATGGGGGTTGTTAGAACCACTGTTAAATCTTGCTTTCTAATATGTTATTAAACGGGTGCATATATTTTGGTATATCACATATATGCTCTATTTGTTGCTTAATAATTGTATTTGAAAATCTTTTGTTGCCTTGATATTCCTGTGTGTTCTAGTTCATGCACTTAAAAACATTATTCTGAGATGTATCTTGGCAAGAGAAAAAAGAAACAAATTAAAAAAATCTTTTCTTGTAAAGCAGTGTCCCTTTATACACAGAAAATACTTTGTAGTTCAAACCAATGTACATGTCATTTCTGTGTGGTCATATAATCTTTTGTCTCTAGTGGAAGTAAAGATATTGGAAATATTTATCTCCCAATTACAGAATTATTCCTTTAGTCAATGTTTCTTTTCTTGAAAACACTCTTCTCAAAAACACAATTATATGCATATTTTATCTTTTAACACATTTAACTGAAAGGAACACGAAATGGTTTCACATCATATATTAAGAGTATATTACACCCACTCCTATATTAATATAAACTTGAAAATAGAAAAATAACACTGTATAAATCACAAGAGATATGCATTTCTAAAACCTAGATAAAACATTTAAGTGTTAATTTTAAATAGCAGTTGTTCTCCTTTACTTCAGTAACTTTGAGAGTCTTACTTCAACAATATGCCATTGTTATCTGCTGCACCTGGGTGATTTTATGTTTTCTACAGGGTGGAGTACCAAGCAGCATCTTAATCTTAACGTCAGCTGTGGATTTCTGCAGAAATGCCATCACTGCGGATATACCAGGTGCTGGAATGTGTCTCTAGAATTACCGACGTGATGACATTACCCACTAATGTAGCTTTTGTCATATCAGAGTATGAATAAGAAGGATTATGTGCCTGCTGAACAAATTATCTTTTTTCTTATGTGCTTCCCTGAGAACTGATAATCACAATTCTGACTTTCAAGAGAACAACATGGCTTTAAAAATATCCAAGATATTTTTTAAAAAGTCAAAAGACAAAAGAATTGTATTTAATTCTATTGTAACATCACCCTCTCCCAACCCTCAAAAGAAAATCAATAGGGAGAAAATCACAGATATATAATAATTTTGTAACCCCAGCCAAATATTCTAACTCCAGATCCAAAGTAGTGTTTAACAGAATAGTAATATTTTATTTATTA